TGGATTGGCAGTTGATTTCTACATGGGACTTTTGGGAAGAGTTGATACAAATGTTTCTGATTTACCTCCTGATTTTTTTGAGCAGCTAGTACAAATGAAACTGGCTGATGAAGGCCAACAATCGCTCTTGGAACCTGTCACACGTGGGGAAATACAAAGGTTTTTCAAGCCATGGGAAAGAATAAGGCCCCTGGGTCGGATGGGTTTCCAGTAGAGTTCTATACTGCTGACTGGAAAGTTATTGGTGCAACTGTTGAAGAAGTTATATTGGATTTCTTTCAAACAGGGGAGATGTCAAGGCAGGTAAATTCGACTCTCATCTCTCTTATTCCCAAGGTGGCTAATGCGGAAAAGATGACAGATTTTAGGCCTATTTCCTGTTGTAATGTCATTTATAAGGCTATGTCGAAGCTTCTATCGAATGGGTTATCAAATGTGCTTCCTAAGGTGATTAGTAAATCACAATCTGCTTTTGTTAAATGCAAGAATATTAGTGATAATATTCTGATTGCTACTCAACTTGTCCATGGTTATCATAAGAAGTCTATCACTCCACGATGTGTTTTGAAAGTTGATCTTCGAAAAGCGTTTGATTCGGTGGAATGGAAATACTTGTTTAAGGTTCTAAAGGCTACGAGGTTTCCACAGGGATTTATTAGACTCATTGAATCATGTTTTAAGACTCCTATGTTTAGTGTGGCTTTCAATGGGGGTAGTTGTGGATATTTTCAGGGGAGTAAAGGACTCAGGCAAGGAGATCCTTTATCGCCGTATCTATTTACAATTGCTATGAAGGGTTTTCATGTTTAATTGCGAGGGAAGTGGCTGATAATCAGATCCCTCACCATCCGCGTTATAAAGCACTTGAGATTACACATGTGTGCTTCGCGGATGGCCTTTTGGTCTTTGCCAATGGATATGTGAGAGCAGTTGCTGGACAAGTTCTATCAGGTCTCAGGACTCCAATGAAATATGGTCAAGTGTAATCTTTATTGTGCTGGGATATTGGCAGATGAGAAGAGATTTATATCACAAACAACTGGCTTTCCTTTGGGAGAGTTACCGGTGTGATACCTGGGGGTACCACTTATTACTGGTAAACTGAGCTCTGCTGACTGTCAATTATTGGTGGAGCGGATAACTGTGAAGATCACAATCTGCTGTGATTATGATTACTCTTCAATACTGGAGGGCTATATTCAGCTTGCCTATGAAGGTATTGAGAGAAGTGGAAGCAATCTGCAATAGATTTCTGTGGGGCGTAGGAGAAGATGGAGGAAGAAAAAAAAAGCTCCAGTAGCTTGGTCATTTGTGGCAAAACCAAAGATGAAAGCTGCTCTGGGCATACATGATTTTAAAACATGTAACCCGGCGTGTGTCACACGCCATATTTAGAGTATCCTTTCTGAATCAGGATCGATTTGGGTGGCGTGATTTCAGCGATATATGCTGAAGCATAGAACCTTTTGGACTCTACAACAATCTTCTTCAGGATCCTGGATCTGGAAGAAGATTCTGAAGGGTCGTGCCGCAGTTCAGCCTTTCATTTCAGGTACGTCTACAACCTTGCTTTGGAATGGATCTCTTATGGATAAGTACTCTATAAAAGATGTTTGGAATGCACTTAAGGGAAGGCCCAACTAGTCCCTTGGTATAGAGCTGTTTGGGGAAAGCCTGTGATCCCTAAACATAGTTTGATGGTTTGGTTGCTTATTATGGATCAAATGATTACTAAGAATAAGCTAGTGAAATGGAAAATGATGGATGAGGCTAGCTGTTTTCTGTGTCCGGAGGGGGGGAGGAGTCTCGAAATCACCTGTTTGGGAGCTGCTCTTACTTAGTTTGTGTGTGGTCAACTGTTTTGAGAGGTATATGTCATGTTCCTGGGTTCTCAGATTGGGATACGCATATGAATTGGAGTATGCAGGCTTGGCAGGGATCGAGTGATAAGGTAATAGTGGGGCGTCTTCTATGGTCTCTTGCTTTGAGTTTTGTTTGGCGAGAGAGATGTGCGAGAATGCATGGATTGAGAGTTTGCAGATCCCATTTTCAGTTGGTCAGATGTATTCAGCAGTAGTGCAGGTTGTTTGCGGAGGGTAACCTTGATTTTAGAGGGCGAATTAGAGTGTTAAAAATTTAGCAGTTGTTTCTTATCAAAGATTATGGCTTTTGCCTATTGTATATATGCCGAGAGGAGGTAATTGCAGTTTGCAATCTCCCGTTCTTAATGATAATTTTGATTAACCATAAAAAAATGTTATGTCATTCAATTTTAACCCAAAAAACATAAAACCCGACCCACCACACCACCTTGACTAACCTGACCCTTTAACCAAACACATGAACCGACTCCAACTTTTTAACTCATGTGAACGATAGACGGATCATTAAGCTTAAACTGCCCGCACCTCTCTAATACATTCCCCATGAAATCGAAAGCAGTTGCGATGATTTAGGTGACCTTCATGCGAAAACATAGCTCTCTCGCTGTAATATTTTTCCTCCAAGTACGGGCGGGTCAGGTCGGGTCATAGGTTGGGTTAAGATGATGTGGCGGGTCGGGGTTTACATTTTTTGGGTTAAAATTGAGTGATTGGACATTTCTGTTAGCCACGTTAAAATTAACATTGTTAACGGAAGCTAACAGAGACTAACGAAGAGTGACCAAACATAACATGTTTTAGCAAACTTAGTGACCACGGATGAAATTAAATATTTTTAGTAACTAAACATGAACGTTTTTAGTAATCTCAGTGACCAACCTTGCAATTTACCCATTTTTGAGCTCGTGGGAGTAGTTTTAGTCCTTAGTTTTAAATTTGAAATGGACGGCCCACCAAGCAAACAACAAACACAATCCCAGGCCACACTTCATTATTACCGGGCTGGGCTTCTCCTGTCTCCTTTCCCCCTCCCCAATTATCCCCTACAGTCCTCAACACGAGCACCCTAGTTCATTTCTTATTTCTACGCAGACAAATGCTTTATTCCCCCCTCCCCAACCTCGGGGCCGGATCCCATGACTAACAACACTTAGATCTGTACACACCAATATGACGGTTAAAAAGTGGGAAGGGCTTTTTAATTAATGAAAGGGGTAGTTTGGGTATTATGAAAATTTACGAAGTATACAAACCAGACTTACAAACGGTACAAACATTACAAACTGAAACGATAAAATATACAAACAGATTTACAAACAATACAAAACATACGAACTATACAAACTAGACCGACAAACAATACAAACCATATAAAATAAATAAAACAACTGGGTTGACTTTGGAGGCTCCATCCCTATATAGAGGGTTTCAAAGTCAACCTTGTTGTTTTTTTGACATACAAACATTACAAACATGGTGGAAAAAATGACAAACTAGACCGACAAACCATATAAAATGGAAAAATACCCGGGTTAACAAACCATACAAACCATCGCTATATAGAGGAGTTCCATCCAAAAGTCAACTAGGTTGTTTTTAGACATATAAAAAATTAGAAACATGGGTGACAAAAAATGACAAACATGTTGGACAAAAATAACAAAGTTTACAAATATTACAAAAGTAACGGACAAATAGTACACAACATACTAACAGGACAAAATACCACTACTTACAATACAAATCGGTAAACTTGTATTACAAACCGATGAATATAAAGTATACAAACTAGACAAACCGATAAATATATACAAAATGGCTAAGTTGCAAGTTTGGTCACTTGAATTACTAGTAAAGTTCACGTTAGCCACTAGAATTACTTTATTTCATCCGTAGTCACTTAAATTAGGTTAACAGTTCAAGTTTGGTCACGGGCCGTTAGTCTCCGTTAACTTTTGCTGATGTGGCGGTCAAAGGATCCGAATTTTGGACTCTAAAGGCAGAAAAAGAATCATAGAAAGATAGTGACGAAGAGAAACCCTTGGGCAAGGATTGGAGCGATCTAACGACCTCGGAGCTCGATTCTCCAACCTCGGAGTACCGATTAGCCGCCAGGAGCAGTTGCCCATTGTCATTCTGATGATGACTACTCCGAGCATGACGTTCTCACATCTCTCTATGGAGTAATTTTCCATTTCATCTGGGTATGAAGAACCCTAGCTGTGTATGTTAGGAATGATTGTATGGACCCCATGTTATGAATGTTTGATTTGATAAATTTAGTTGAGGAATTATTCAAAATTACATGAGTCCTGATCAAACCTGTGTAGTTTCGGCTTTAACCTAGAACGATAGTCTCTGCATATGTTAAAAGAGCAACCTTTAATTGAAAGTGGTGAATCGACAGCTTTAGTCGAAAAGTCGATTCACTGCTCCATACTGGAACAAAAGGCCAGTAATGGAAGTTTCGTGTGTTTAACTTGGGTTAATGCATGCCGGTGGAGGTTAGTCGCCCGCAGGGTATTCGAATCAAGAGGGTATGGATAACTTTAGTCTAGAGTCAGACCATTAAAGAATTTTCCGCGGTTTTTCTATAAATATGAGTAATTTGGGACCGTATAACCTGAACTAGCTGCACACTAGGGGAAACCATACCTGGATGACCTTTTGAACCTGAAAAGAACCAGACCATTACTTGCTTTTGTTTCTTTTGAACTAAAATCATTACACTCGCTTAGTCTTGCTAGATAATAGGCGTTCACTAAGTAGGCAGTAGATCTAGAGCCCGAGTCGATAATTAGATTTAACCACTATTCTGCATTTCTACACTGCAATTATACTTAGTCGCAGTTTAGTATTGTGTCGTATCGAGTCAATCATAATGCACAAACAGCTGAGGACTGACACATACGATTCTCATAATATCTCTTATTCACTTGGAAGAGTTCTTTCACCGTAACATTGGCCGATAAACCTATTGAAATCCCGTGAAGGAAATAAACGTTTAATGTCCCATCTCTCCTTTGTTTAGTATATGACCTAGCCATCTAACAAACATTGTATATATATAGTCCCCAGGTTGAGTTGCAGTACTAGACTACTAGTATTACAAACAAATTAAAGTAGCTCATTCTGGTAAATGTCATGATGATGACGACGACCAGCAGCAGCAGCTGTAATTGGCGGTGGAGAGAAGAAAGTGCGGTGGACTTCAACTGCAAGCTCCTCCATGCTCACCCCACATTCCAACCCTATCTGCAACCGCACCACCAAACCCTAACTATATTATAACTGAATATATAATGTCTGGCTAGTATACATGGAATTATGGATATGCATTGAAAGGGACGGCCGGCCGGCGGGGAGAGGAATAATATTAATGGCTCACTGACAAGCACAGAAATGAGAATATATCTGCTCTGTTTGCATGCTTTTCCGTGTACATCTGTCAGACAAATCCAAATGAAAATGACACCAACCAAGCATTCACCAAACGGCCGCCTCCTCCCTTCAAGTTTCTCCCAACATAGGATTCTTTCATATCAATATCATGGTGTAAATAGGGTATGTTTTGCCTTTCGTTTTTTTTTCTTCTTAAGTGTTAGCTTTCTTTAACTCCAAAAACAGTATATACCTTGAGGAGGAAGGAGTAGAGGACAGTGTCATCCATGCTGCTGATGTTGAAGTGAAGGACATCAAACGACAGCATCTCGAGCGTAGCAACGATCTTCACTGCCTGACCTGGAACCCGCCTCGAGATCACCTTCAGCTCCACATTGGATCCGGATAGCTTGGCTTCCACGTCAGCAACGGAGGAGTTGCAACATGAACCTAGCAAGTACGTCTGATCCTTTAATGATGACGGTGGAAATGGGTTACTATAATGATCAGCAGTAGAAGGCATTAGCTGCAACATTGGCCGAGGGCTAGGGCTACTTGCAGGGCTCAAACTCAGGCGCCGTTGTTTGTTGGATTCCAGGACTTGAAGCAGGTGGTGCAACTCCTTGATGAACTCTATCACTCCACCTATGATCGATGCTTGGTCCCCCTTCATTTTCGAAAAGAGAATTCGAGCACACATCACCAGGAGAACGAAAGTAAGAATTAGTCATACATATATCTTATAACAAAGTTTTGATAGGATATGCTTCATATAGAACTCGATCAGAAATCATGGTAGCAAATTATAGCTAAAGACTAAATACATATGTAGATGTGGAAAATTCATTTCGAACTGATTTGGATCTATAATATGGTAAAGCTATTAATAAAACATTGGTGTGAAATCATTATAAGTCATCGTCAGAGACTTACAGGTTTTGTCAAATTTCAAGAAAATGCTAGGTGTAAGGTGGACGTTGATGCTCTGCTTAGCGCCTAGCATGCTTAGACATCGTTTAGGCGTGCTTACACTCACAATTTTATGAAAACCAATATCATCGTGTTCTACCTTTCAGTTCTAAATCCTCATCAACAACCAACAATACGTGGTGAAGTATAAAGAATAGTGTGGAGAAATGAGAAAGGAAGAAAAAGCTGCAAAATAGCGGAGTGAATTGAGAGAGAAGAAGCGCAAAAAAGAAAGAAAAAGCTACTCTAAAGATGTTTGTCTCTAAGTGGTTAGTAACACTGGTAGGGGAAAAAGAAAAAGGGAGTACGGTCTTGATTTCTCAATCTAATAGCATATCAAAAGATAGAAAAGAGACACTATAATTCTATGCTGACTAGACGCAAGCATGGTCACAATGTGTCCGAGACATCTTGTTCGCTGCTTGTGGCCAAGGAGATATATCTTCCTTCTGCCTAGCTAGCTAGCACCTAGGTGAAATTAGCGAGTGTCTAGTCTTAGAACCATGGGTTTTCTACCGATTGAATCAAACATGTTTTTTTTTTTCAAAGCAAAGGCTTGTAACCAATGATTTTGGCTATGTAGGTGGATAGAGATAGATGTACTTATACCCTTTTGATGTAGAAGCGAGGGGTTAGGGAGCGCAGGAGCTTGAGATGCTCATTCATCTGCCTTCTCCGCTTTCTCTCCACCGCGTTGTGAGCCATATATATATATGCTTCTCTCTTTGATGATCTTCTTGTTGCTGAGCTGATGCCTCTACAAATATTCCCTTTCTGAGATGGGAGTGGGAAAATCAAAAGGGCAGGGTATTTATATATAGGGGTAGCTCGTGCAACCTAAGGACAAAAGGGTGAAAAAGCTGAAGAATGTAAAAAGAAAAAAAAGGTAAAGTTTGGTAGTAGTATACGTACAATAAATGCCAAGTGTTGGAGTCTCGTGAGGCATGCCTTAAACTGTTAGTTTAGTTCCTTTGCTATACCTATTTTTATTGTATGGTTTTCTTTTCCAAGCAAGCAAGCTAGGTAGCTGTAAGTAATTCCTCTCTACTCTCTTCTAGACATTACGGGCTCACGTTTATGATCTGAAGGGGTAAATAGAATACCAATATTCAATTACAGCCCCCGCGGCCTAAACTATTAACACCACACCGTAGCTGGGCAGCCACTATTCTTCTGTAAGCAACTATATATACGACGTGATCTCAACCCCATAATACCTCTACGAGCTTCTTACGATTGAATGTATACAGTAATAGTGCAGCAAGATATATGCATACATTGTTCATTTCTTACCATGAAAGTTTGTATCCATTATTATATACTGCAAGGGAGCAAAGGGAAAAGTAAAAGAAGGGAGGTGTTAAATAAATGTACATGGCTCGTATTTCATGAACGTATTGATCATTTACTACTACTACTACTACCATACATGTTGCTTGCGGTACATAGTGTAGTAACTTTGGTATAATATTCCTTACTATGTTATATTCCCTACTATGCTACGATCAACGTACGTGGATATATGTATCACTTGCTGAGCCAACGTACATTGAGCAAAACCCAACATACAGAGTAGAGAAAAGGATTAATTGCATGGTTGGTCACTGAGATCACAAAAAATGTTCAAGTTTGGTCACTCGAAATATTTAAATCCATTGGTGGTACTTCAGTTTACTGAAACCGTTCACGTTTGGTCACTCTCCGTCCAACTCCGTTAACTTTTGCTTATGTGACGGTCAACTCTAAAAGTTGACTGTTAAATGTGTGACGTGACAATTTAAAAATAATAAAATTAAATTTTTCAAAACTGTCATCTCATCTCCACCTCATTATCACTTTTATTTAAGATAAATAAAAACTATAATTTTTTCTAAGCCCCAATACCAATACCCCCGCCGGCATCATACCTGTAAGGAAGTGGTTAAGTACCATACATGGGCCTGTATAAGATCCAACATAACCTTCTCCCAACAACTCGAGTTATTGGGACCAACTAGTTTATGACATGATATCAGAGCTGGTTTGGCCAAGTTGTCGTGTGTTCGAATCTCCATGACCCTCAATATTAACAGTTGATTAAAACACAAGGTATGGCGAGCCTGTGCAAACTTCAAGCCTATGAGTCGACTTTCATTTGAGGGGGCGTATAAGAAAGTGGTTAAGTACCATAAATGGGCCTGTATAAGATCCAGCATAACATTCTCCCAACAACTCGAGTTATTGGGACCAACTGGTTTATGATATGGTATTAGAGCTGGTTTGTCTGTGAGGTCACGTGTTCAAGTCCTCACGACCCCCAATATTAACCGTTGTCTTTCAAGCACATGGTATGGCGGGCCTGTGCAAACTTCAAGCCCATGAGTCGGCTTTCGTTGGATGGGGCGTGTAAGGAAGTGGTTAAGTACCATACATGGGCTTGTATAAGGTCCAACATAACCTTCTCCCAACAACTCGAGTTATTGGGACCAACTGGTTTATGACATGGTATCAGAGCTGGTTGCGTGTGTTCGTATCTCCACGACCCCCAATATTAACAAGTGATTAAAATCACAAGTATGGTGGGTCTGTGCAAACTTCAAACTCATGGGTTGGCTTTCGTTTGAGGGGGCGTGTTAGAGAGTGATATAAGATCCAGCTTAACTTTCACCCAACAACTCGAGTTATTAGGACCAACTGGTTCTTGACATGGTATCAGAGCCTTATGTGACCGAGAGGTCTTCTATTCGAATCCCCACAACCCCCATTTGTTAAATACATGGTATTCTTGTCTTCAGAACTGTGCAAGCTTCAAGCCCTTGTGAAGTGGATTGAACCTCTCCCAACAACTCGAGTTATTGGGATCAACTGGTTCATGCCAATACCCTGCCGTCGTTGCCGCTTCCTTTATTGGGCTTCCTTCCCACAGGACCGGAAATCTCGCATGCCGGAAGAAAGGCCATCGGTAAGATCGATTCCCAGCGGATTGGAGTTGTCAGTCCGGTAAGGGGCTTCTCTACCTGTCTCTCTGGTTTACACCCTGTCTCTCTGTCTACCCGCTAATGAGTATTCCATATTTGAGATTCGAATTTGACAACAAGTCAACAACACAATTGGTAGAAAAAAAGAGAAACAAAAGGCGGAAACGGAGAAAAAGCAGAAGATACCGGCGGTGGGGAACTTTCAATTCTAGCGAGGAGGGGATGCTAGTTGACAGCGGCAGCGGCGACAGCAACGACACCATTGGCGGTGGCCATCATCTTCTCGAACTCCTGGAAATTGATGCATTCGTCGCCTTCGGAATCGACGCCCTTGATCATCCTGGAGCACTCCTCCATGGAGCACTTCATCTAGAGGCAGTGGCGGACCCAGAAATTTTACATAGAGGTGTCCTCTTTTAAAAAATAAATTAAATACAAATAATTCTAAAATAATTAATAAATAAGAAATACTTTACTCATACCGTTTGAAAAAATTCACAATGTGTTTCATATTAAAAAATGATTGTAGAACACACTTGGGGTCTACACTATTCAATAAAATTGTCTCTATATATCATATTAGACAATCATTCACGAACTGATCACATATTCAATTTCTAAACTTGTTCTTGATGTAATCCAAAGATGAAAAGACTCTTTCAATACTTGTTGTACAATCATAAATCAATACAAATTAAGGGTAGCTTGAAATTTGTTTAATTGTTAGATTTTGAAAATAATTAGAGATAGAGAATGACATTATACTATTACACAGTGTTTAAAATCGAATAACATATGAGTTGTAGCCTAATGAAAATTATGTTTATTAATAATAAAAGTGTCCTAGGTTTGAATTACCCAAACTATTGTTTAATTGTTAGATTTTGAAAATAATTAGAGATAGAGAATGACATTATACTATTACACAGTGTTTAAAATCGAATAACATATGAGTTGTAGCCTAATGAAAATTATGTTTATTAATAATAAAAGTGTTATAGGTTTGAATTACCCAAACTACGACTTATATTCTCATACTCAGACTAAAAGATGAGAGTAGGATAATCACTTTTTTAAATTTAGGGGTGTCCCCGACTATCAATTATAATTTTTTTTGTCAATATATAAATTACTACCGAGGGTTGGATAATCGTTTTCCCAAAATTTAGGGGTGTCCGGGGACACCCCTAAACACCCGTGGGTCCGCCCCTGTCTAGAGGCGGTTGAGCACGTGGTAGAGCTCAGGCCTGGAGATGCGCCCGTCCTTGTTCTCGTCGTACAAGTTGAAGGCCTCGCGGAGCTCAGCGGCCGCGCAGGCGCCCAAGGACTGGCGGAGCTGCGCGAATTCCTCTAGGTTGATGAAACCGTCCTTGTCGGTGTCGATATCCTCCATGGCGCGCTGGAGATCCGGAGCGGAGTAATTCGTCCCCATGGATCTGAGGACGTCTGCGAGCTTGGAGAGTGAGATCTTACCGTCACTGTTGGAGCAAATTTCTCGAACACCTACTGGAACTTGTCCATGTTCTGGAGGTAGGTGTGAGCTGAAGTGCAGCCAGAAGAAGGGTGGTGAATCCGAATCCGAGTAGGAGAAGGATTGAACGCTAGAGGCGGGAAGTCTAAGGTTTAAATAAAAGGGTAAAATGGCTGTCGTTTTACTTGAGAGTCCAGTCTGTCTTAGTTTCCTTTTGGTCCTTGTATTTCTGTTTAGTGTTAATCGAGTCCATCTGAGTCTTAAGCATTGCAGAATGCCTGGTGGTTAAGGTAGCTGGTTTATAGGGTGTTAGTTGAGTCATGGGAGCTGGAATCACGGGGTTAGTGGGCTGAGTTGAGAGCCGAGATCAGAGGTCAAAAACTCTTGTATTTAATCCTTTCAAATTCCAAGTGAATAAACTGTCAGTTTGCTCCAAAGAGTTTACATTGTGGTATCAGAGCTCTGCAAACTGTAACCAAGCAATAGAGTGAAAGATTGAATCGTGGTGTGGAGTGAATGGTTCTGCAAGTCTGATTGCAGGCCAGGGGTATCATCTGGGAAACACGAGTGATAGTGAGTGAGATTGATTAAAAGAGGTGAGTGAAATTCTCAGGCAAAAGAGGGATCTGAGATGGGTGAGAATGGGAGTTTTGCAAAGGTGTGCATCCCAAAGTTTGATGGTGATTACGATCACTGGAGTCTTGTGATGGAGAATCTGTTGCGATCAAAAGAGTACTGGAATGTGGTGAAAGATGGTTTTTCAGAACCTGCGGCAGATGCTGTTCTTTCAGCTGTTGAATCCAAGAATCTGGAGGATTTAAGGTTGAGAGATTTGAAAGCTAAAAACTACTTGTTCAGTGCCATTGATCGAACAATTCTCAAGACTATCACAAACAAGGGAACAGCCAAGGAGCTGTGGGATGCAATGAAGGTCAAGTTTCAAGGAAGTGCTCGAGTCCAAAAGGCTCAGTTGCAAGGTTTAAGAAGAAGTTTTGAGTTGCTGGAGATGAAAGAAGGTGAGACTATCACTGAATACTTTGGAAGAGTCATGGTGATTGCAAACTCAATGAGAAACTGTGGAGAGAACATGACAGATGGTCAGATTGTAGAGAAAATTCGCAGGAATTTAACTGAGAAGTTTAAAACTATGTAGTCTATTCAATTGAGGTATCAAAGGACACTGAAACTCTGACTGTGGATGCTCTTCAGAGCTCTTTGATTGTTCATGAACAGAAGTTCCATAAGAAAACTGCTGCTGAAGAGGATCAGGCTCTGAGAGTTGGATATGATGCTGGTGGAAGAGGTGGTCGAGGAGGTTCTGGTAGGGGATTCTATCAGGGAAGAGGAAGAGGAAGGGGAAGAGGCTGGAATAGAGACAATCTAGAGTGTTTCAAATGTCATAAGCTTGGTCACTTCAAATATGAGTGTCCAGAATGGTATTCTGAGCAGGCTCATTATTCAAATGCTCAGAACTCCAGGCCTCAATCTTCAATCAACTCCTCAACCAACATATCAGAAGAGTTCAAAGAAGATATGCTATTAATGGCTCATGCTGATCTTGCAAGAGCTGGAGAAAAAGAAAAGGCAAGTGAAGAATGCTGGTTTCTTGATTCTGGATGTAGCAATCATATGACTGGGAACATGCACTGGTTCACAGAAATGGATTCTAATTTCAAGGGAAGTGTGAGACATGGAAATGACACAAGGTTGGATGTAGTAGGGAAGGGAACAGTGAAGTTAATTATGGATCAAACTTCTCTAACTATCACAGAGGTATTCTATGTTCCAGGTTTGAAGGCAAATCTGCTAAGTGTGGGGCAGTTGCAGGAAAGAAATCTTACCTTTGTCATTCGTGATGGGAGCTGCAAAGTATATCACAAAACCAATGGTTTGCTGTTGCAGACCAGCATGAAGACAAATCGCATGTTTGTGATACATGCTGCCCCAAAGATTGGTGAAACTCAATGTTTGCATACTGGAACAGGAAAGGAAACCTCTCTGGAACTCTGGCATAGGAAGTTTGGACATTTGAATTCTCAAGCTCTCCTGCTGCTGCAGAAAAAGAAGTTGGTCCAGGACCTACCTCAGCTCAAAGGCAGCATTGGAATTTGCTCAACCTGCATGATAGGCAAGCAACACATGCATCCGTTTCCAAAGAAAAGTAACTGGAGAGCTACACAGAAGCTTCAACTTCTTCATGCACACTTGTGTGGACCAATCACACCAAAATCTAATGGAGGAAAAAGGTATATACTTACCTTGACTGATGATTTCAGTAGGAAGCTGTGGGTGTACTTCTTGTCTTCCAAGTCTGAAACTTTAGCAGTCTTTAAGAAATTCAAAGTGTAAGTTGAAAAAGAAACTGGTCTTTCAATTATCTGCTTAAGAACAGACAGGGGTGGTGAATTCATGCTAAATGAATTCAAAGGGCTGTGTGAAACTGAAGGAATCAGGAGGCAGTTAACTGCTGCTCTCACTCCCCAGCAGAATGGGGTAGCTGAGAGAAAGAACAGAACAGTGATGAACATGGTTCGTTGTATGCTAGAGGATAGAAAAGTACCTGCAAATTTCTGGCCTGAGGCAGTTGCATGGACTTCTCATGTTCTAAACAGAAGTCCAACAGCTGCAAACCAAGGCAAAACACCCCAAGAATTGTGGACTGGAGCTCCGCCTTCTGTTTCACATTTAAGGGTGTTTGGTTGTGCTGCTTTTGTACATATATCATATTTGCAGAAAAGGAAATTGGACAACAAAAGCACATTGTGTTATTTTCTAGGAATCTCAGTGGAGTCCAAGGCTTACAAGCTCTACAATCCCACAACCAAGAAAGTGGTGATCAGCAGGGATGTTGTATTTGATGAGTCAAAAGGTTGGGAAGTGGATTCTGAAGCTGAGCCAGTTCTGACCAAGTTAATCTGGGAGGGAAGTGATGATGATTTTTATGACTCAGACTTTGAAGAAGAGACTGATGAATCATCAGAAGCATCTGCTACTGATGAACCAAACAACACTACAGAACCAGTTACACCTCTACAAACTGGTACGGGAGATCACCTTGGGTCAGAACTGGGGGAGGAAGAAGAAGATGGCACAGATAGTTTGGGGTTACCTAGCTCAAGCCTGGGTCCTCGAGTGAGAAAGACACCTGCTCACCTGGACATATATGACTGTACATACTTCTCAGAAGCAGATTGGTGGGCTATGGTTGCTGTAGCTGGTGATCCACAAACTTATGAAGAGGCTGCTCAAGAAGAAAAGTGGAATGAAGCCATGAAGGAGGAGATGAAGTCAATAGAAAAGAACCAGACCTGGATTTTGACTGCTTTGCCACCAAATGTGATTCCAATAGGTCTCAAATGGGTTTACAGAACCAAACTAACTGAGACTGGTTCTGTGGACAATTTCAAAGCTAGATTGGTGGCTAAAGGCTACTCACAAAGGGCTGGTATTGACTACACATAAGTTTTTGCTCCTGTTGCAAGATGGGATACAATTCGGACACTCCTGGCACTAGCTGCTCATCATGGATTAATAGTCTATCAGCTGGATGTCAAGAGTGCATTCTTGTATGGAGAACTGGAGGAAGAGGTTTATGTTGAGCAACCTCAAGGGTTTGAGGTTGCTGGGGAGGAAAACAAGGTATACAAGTTGAAGAAGGCACTCTATAGCCTTAAACAGGCTCCAAGGGCCTGGTATTCCAGAATTGAGGCTTATTTCTTGCAGAATGGCTTTGAGAGGAGCACTTATGAACACACACTGTTCATCAAAAGAAGTGATGAAGGAAAGATTCTTCTGGTCAGTCTATATGTAGATGACATAATCTACACAAGCAACTTCTCAAAACTGATTGATGAGTTCAAAAGATCAATGCAACAGGAATTTGAAATGACAGATCTAGGTCGCATGAAATATTTTCTGGGGGTGGAGATCAATCAAACAGACAATGGGATCTTTATCTCACAACAGAAATATGTCAAAGAAATCCTAGAGAAGTTCAACTTGAGTGACTGCAACTATGCAAGGAATCCAATTGCTCCTGGAATGAAACTGACAAAGGCAAGTGATGGAATTCCAGTAAATCCAACTGAGTACAAGCAGTTAATTAGGAGTCTGCTCTATGCTACTGCAAGTAGGCCTGATATTATGTATCCAGTTTGCCTGCTGAGTCGTTTCATGGAAAATCCAACCAGACAGCATATGTTAGCAGCAAAAAGGGTTCTTAGATATCTTAAAGGAACTCTGGGGCATGGAATCTGGTATCAAAAGGGAAGCAAAGAGGGCTGTTTAGTGGGATATACTGACAGTGATTATGCTGGAGATCAAGATGACAGGAAGAACACAAGTGGGTATGCATTCTTTCTGGCTGGTGGAGTGATTTCTTGGGCCTCAAAGAAGCAACCAGTGGTTACTCTTTCCACCACAGAAGCAGAATTTGTAGCTGCCTCATACTGTGAAGCACAATGTGTTTGGTTAAGAAGGATTATGGAACAGATGGGATGGGAAAGAAGTGTTGAAGGTGCCACACCAGTGTATTGTGACAACAGTTCTACTATAAAATTATCGAAGAATCCAGTGCTTCATGGCAGGAGCAAGCACATAGATGTCAGATTTCACTTCCTCAGAGAACTGGTAAAAGGAGGGGTGATTGAAATGGTGCACTGTGGCACTGAAGAGCAAGCAGCAGACATCTTAACCAAGCCTCTCAAGCTGGAAACATTCGAGCTCTTACGAGCCAAACTTGGAGTGATAGAAGTTGCAGGCATGAACAAAGAGAAGAAGAAGAAGATTGAGGTTGAGGTGAACTGAAGGGAGCTGACAGGCTTCAGTTCAGGGGAGGATTTGTGAGCTGAAGTGCAGGCAGAAGAAGGGTGGTGAATCCGAATCCGAGTAGGAGAAGGATTGAAGGCTAGAGGCGGGAAGTCTAAGGTTTAAATAAAAGGGTAAAACGACTGTCGTTTTACTTGAGAGTCCAGTCTGTCTTAGTTTCATTTTGGTCCTTGTATTTCTGTTTAGTGTCAATCGAGTCCATCTGAGTCTTAAGCATTGCAGAATGCTTGGTGGTTAAGGTAGCTGGTTTATAGGGTGTTAGTTGAGTCATGGGAGCTGGAATCACGGGGTTAGTGGGCTGAGTTGAGAGCCGAGATCAGAGGTCAAAAACTCTTGTATTTAATCCTTTCAAATTCCAAGTGAATAAACTGCCAGTTTGCTCCAAAGAGTTTACAGTAGGCCGTGGCAAAGGATGGGGAGGAGGTCGGCTTGGTGATGAAGGATGATGTGTCGATCGCGGTTACTGCTTCCGCCATTGTTGTTATTGAGTTTCGCTTCGATTTGGAGTGTTTGAGAAAAGGGAATTTTGATGGCAGTAGGCGGCATGCGAGATTTCTGGTCCAGTGGGAAGGAAGCCCAATAATGGAAGTGGCAGCGACGGCGGGGGTATTGGTATTGGTATTGGGGATTAGAAGAAATTAGGGTTTTCTATTTATTTTAAATAAAAGTGATAATGAGGTGGAAATGAGATGACAATTTTGAAAATTTTAATTTTATTATTTTTAAATTGCCACATCACACATTTAACGGTCAACTTTTAGAGTTGACCGTCACGTAAGCAAAAGTTAACGGAGTTGTGACCAAACTTGAACGGTTTGAGTAAACTGAAGTACCACCAATGGATTTAAATATTTCGAGTGACTAAATTTGAATGTTTTTTTATAATCTCAGTGATCAACCATGTAATCAACCCCGTAGGGAAAAGGTTGAAATGATAGCCACGTGGGCTTAGTTTGCTTGTTGAATAGTGAATATAATTTGTGGAATGGTGTCTCCTAACTAGGGCTACAAATGAGGTTGATTATCTGAGTCGAGTTTGAGCTAGATTCAACTTAATTCGTTAAAAATGAGTTTAACTTGGTCGTGGCTCGTGCTTGATATATTAATGAGCCCACAACAAGGTTGTCAACCCGCGGGTTGACCCGGATCCGGTCAAGCTAGTGGGTCAAGGGTTAATGGGTCACCCGTTTCAGCTCGTTTCAGCCCGGAAATATGAAAAGAGTCATTATATTGCACTTATCTTGATAAATTATATCAAATCTCATCTAACATATAAGTAATAACATATAACATCACACCAAAGTAACATGTCGTACTTAGATCCAACATATAGTGAAAATTCACACAGACTTATACAACATAAATATTCAAATGTTCAACTAAGGATTCCAAAAATTGAGTTAGGCGAAAAGAAAAATCGAAAAATAGGCGCATTTCGCAAACCAAAAAAAAAAGACATAATTTGACCTCCAACCCGATACCTTGTAACGGTCGACCCGGCGGGTGTGTGAGACCCGTTTACTCATCGGGTCAGGGTCAAAGTGGGTCGACCACTGGGTCGACCCGCGGGTTGACAACCTTGGCCCACAATCTATAGTTGAGTTTGGCTCATCAAAGAGCTCACGTGTTTAGCTCGAGTCAGATTATTTATTAGTCATAATGAAATCACTAAAATAAATAATAAATTAGATTTCTTAGTTAATATTATAATAAAAATAATAATATAAAAAATGTCATCATTAATTGATCACATGTTTATATTCCTTTTCGGTATCATACTATTTATTTTTATAAATATTAAACTAGTTAATATCATGTTATTTATTAGTAATTATTATTATCTAAACAATCTATAATACATAATTAATATTTGAAGCATAAGTGATGCATATTTGTTCACTTTCTCAAAGTCTTAAACCATCATATGTGATATGATACATAATCTAACAAATCTATTAATTGTCAACAAACCAACTCGCTAACCACAATATCGAGCCAGTTCAGGTGTTAACTCAACAATGCACTGAAACAAGCTAACTCGCAAGCCTATGACATCCAGCATAACAATTTTACTTTCATTAGGAAAGATCATTCCTTTTAATGTCTAAAGACATTATGTATGATTCAATTGCACATGGACGGACATGGAGAAGGAGTGACAAAAATGCTTCTCACTAACATGACCAATTTGTGTTGTCATTTGCATGATTTCAACACATATAATACACTATCTTCAACCAATATTGTGGGTTTGAGATATTGGAGGAAACCAAATCTAGTGGTTGAAAAGCATACCCTATGATGATTCGAGCATATGAAAGTGGTGGCTAAAAAACTTATTTTGCAACTAATGGGTCCAAGAGAGAAGGGGAATACAAGAGAGAGAAAGTAAGAGAGAGAACGTGAGAGAGTGGTTTGGGCAGGAAAATTTGTTGCACGTCCCACCGTCATCGTCGACGCCCATCGAGCTCTGGTAGAAACTGATCCTCGCCGTTACCTCTTCCTTTTCCACTTGTCTCCTTATTCTGGTGTTAATCTCTTGGAACTTCATGACTCATCAATGGCGAGTGAACGATCTTGGCATGACCTATTTGGAATTGCAGAGGAAAACCGTCTAGTTTACATCGAACCAGAAATTGTCGATGGCGGGCTTCGAATCCGGCGAAGCTTGAGGAGGAGGGTATCGCGAGATGGAAATATTGTCTCGTCGATCATTTGCTGACATCTTCTTTGCATATTCATCAAGTTCAAGCTTTGGCGAACAAACTATGGAGTCGAGATGGTCGAATTAGGGTGGATGCAAAAATAAAGGTGTCTAAAGGAGAAGGATGTGAAGTAGGGGCGGATGAGGACATAGTTTATAACGACAATAATCCATGTCTTTTGAGACCTCTTACAGTATAAATATAGTTTAAAATTAGCCAACTTGGGTGAATCAATACTATTAATTACCAAAATAATTACCAAAACCATGGTAAACGATAGTGCAGGTCATCAAATTATTCACATTTTGTAATTGTTACGTAAAATACACATCAGTCACGCAAATGTTACTATTGACAGTTGTTTTCTACATAACAGTTAAATCAAAAGTTTTACGTAAGACTTTCATATGACTTGTCACTTAACATAATCGCGGTCAATACTCATTACGTAAGGCTTCCGTAATGGCTTAACACTTTACGTAACACAAGGTTAATTTTCATTATGTAAATGGACCATTCATTATGTAAGGCTTCCATAATGACACTTCACAAATGTCACGTAAAATACACATCCATTGCATAAAGAACTAAATGATAAATTATTTCTTATGTAACAGTCAAATTAGAGGTGTCAATTAGGCGGGTTGGGTCGGGTTCGGATTGGTTCTAACCGGGTCGGGTTCAATCGGGTTGCGAGTTCAATCGGGCCGGTTTTAATTTGGATCGGGTTTAATTGGGTTGTAGGTCAATTGGGTTACGAGTCAATCAGGTCACTGGTCAATTGGGTTACGGATTGGGTCGGGTTACGGGTGCTTCAAATTACGGGTTCATTGGATTGCAGGTTAATTCTGGTTCGGTCAGGTCAGATTATGGGTTATTCAGGTCAACCCATTGGATCATTTACTTCTTGACAGAAAATAATGTTTTACAAACTATCAATATATGAATATAAATTGTAGGTAATGATACAAAATTTAAGAAAATGATAATATGATAATATTTTACACATACAAAGTAAATATCCATTATGTTAGTATAAAAACTAAATATAAATAAAATAGTGTATATAAAAGCTTTGTTGTTGGTTATATATTTCTTTGTTTATGGTAAGAGATTGTAACTTCACTTATTTTATTAATTTATAAAAAATATGAATCAGTAAAAATTTGGGAATGAATTAAAAAAGGTAGACTATATGCTTATACATCTCGAAATGAATCGTTTTAATTAAATATAGTATGAACTAGATGTGTGTCTCTTTATTTCCACGAAGACTTATGAACATCATTCCGAATCACCCACTTATATATCTTCACAATTTTTTATATATTCACGGTAACATCTCATCCTAAAACTCATGGGTTGAACAACGGTTCGCTCAAATATGATATTATCATCTAGTGTGAATCGTCGATTTATTAATTTATAAAAAATAAATAAAATCAGTAAAAAGTTGAGAATGAAGTAAAAAGGGTAAACTATCCACTTATATATCTTGATAGTGATCATTGATTTTGGGGATTTCATTGATTTTCAAGGGTTGATTTTTTTAATATAGTTATGGGTGGTGGACATACGAATTTGTGTCTAACTCTTCCTATTATCTTGAAAATTTTATCTTTTGAATTTCATAAATAAAAAATGAATGAAAAGATATTTCACATATTATTATTTTAAAAATTAAATATTTAAGAAAAACCTTAATTTATACCATTAATTCTACAAATAATTTTTAGTTATTATAAGAATAACAGTTCTTTCTTGATAAATTTAAAAATATAATAATGTATACATTAAAATTTTGTACAAGCATTCAGGTCAAATGAGTTATTCGGGTTATTCGAGTTGGGTTCGGTTACGGGTTATTTGGGTTATGAATCATTCGGGTTATAGATGGGTCAGGTTATGGGTTGGATCGGATAACGAGTTCATCGAGTTATGAGTTAATCGGATTACAGGTCAATTGGTTTCGTGTTACGGGTGGTTGACTTTTTGTCAAATCGGGTTATGGATGAGTTGTGGATCGAGTGGGTTGGGCGGATTAGTCGGATCGGGTTCAATTTTGACAGCTCTAAGTCAAATCATAAGTATTACAGGAATTAGGCTAATATGGTTAGCACTAACCATCACATTGTGGTTTCCGAATAGCATAATCATACTTTTGTGGTTATGATTAACTTCAAAATAGGGGTGGGTAACCACAGGCACACCCATTTCCATCCCTAGCTCTAACTATGGATGCAATCAGGAAGTGTTGCCAGTTAAAATTGCAGAAAGTTCACAGTACCCGGAATGCGACGTAATTTTTGTTTTTGAAAGCCAGAATGCACTGTTTTAAGTACCAAGAACCATTGCCTTTTCATCTTTGGCGGGATGCAAGTTTCATTGGCGGGGGTATCGTATAGTATAGCAGTCTGATCCATATAATATCCTATATATTATTTAAAATTTTGGGTGGAACTGATTGATAAAATAGTGGAAATAAATACACTTCAGCCTTGTACAATTTGAAGATCACATTGTTACACATTTGGAAGACAAAAAAGTCCGGAAACCTCAACAAGAACTCAGCAGCAAATGAGCAGAAGAAAGCCCTCTCGGCTCGCTTCTTGATGTACGGGACATAACAACCAAAGAGCTTATTCATGTTCAGCATTCGTTAACTAACTCTTTAGTCAATGTGGTTCTGGTACAATTCGTAAAAAACATGTTTTTGTGCAACCATGTTGCCACTTCAATCTCAGGAACACAGATGTAAAGCCTGCTCCTACAGAACAATTGGTGTGCCGGTTTCTTTCCAAAGCCACTATCTAGATCCTCTGCCCCTTTGCGTTCTCACCTTCGGTGCAGCAAGTGACAAAAGCATATATACAGATAGAAGTGATCAGTGAGCATTCAAACAATATCGCATGGCAAGTCAGAATAATATGCAATCTGTCTAAATTGGGCAGCATCAATTACTAATAGATAATCTACTCCATAAGTATCACTTCCATTCCACAGACAAAAAGGTTATCAGAGATCCTCACAGCGTGTAGTCTTATAGCAAATGCTCTCAAGTCTCAACAACTTTTGACTCGGAAGAAATAGTAGTTAACCAACCGCAGAAAGTTGTCTAATGTGTCTCTCTCTAGTAAGCTATTAAATCTCAGGTGATTACCTAGGGCAATAAACTGAGCTTCATAAGCACTCTTTAAATCATAGCTGAAGCAGGTGTAGCTAGGAACTAAGCGAACCAAAGCCTTTGTTTGGTGAAACTGGCAGGGTGGCTAGTCCACAAATGGAAATGACATGAAGACAATTTGCGTGTTTCAAGGTTCACCTTTAAGTTTCTGTTCAAAATACCGCAGCTGTGATATGAATCCGGGATTGGGAGAAGCCTGAGGGCGCCTACTCTGAACATGTTGCAAGGCTTGGGATAAGCTCATATGCCGCTTCTTTATCAGGTAGGCAACAACAATAGTCACACTGCGAAACAGAACAGCTAACTGCTTTATGCAACTTCATTATGCAATTGCGTTGCTAAAAATGATTTGCAGACACCAGCTACTTGCACATAACATCGACCATTATGGCACAAAAGAAGGGTAACCCCAGTAGCTTCAAACAAGACACTTGTTCACTATTGTGCCCTGACTGAAATCTCTCACCTTCTGGAAACTCCCATGAAGCAATGTACGAGCACACCACCACCAATTCGTTTAGATTCATCGATGAAATCGAAACATTCATCAAAGTGCTGAGCAATGTTGGTATTTAGGCTGTCCGAAACTGAAGAAACACCAATGCAAAATTAAGGTTCCTGCATAGTGAAACTTACATTTCTGTTTGAAAGACGGTAACTTGGATGTAAACAGTGAGAAAGCTTTGCTTTGTTCAATTCAATTAACCATATACACCCTATAACAAAACCATTGAGAAGAAAGGGTGGTAAAGTTCTTGCACATACTATTGACGACCTTGTACTGAAAATCTTCTGGAAACGATGGAAGGAAGCTGGCGATGGTTAAAATGTGAGTTACATTGGCTTGTTTGAGTGCATCCTTCATAGTTGCTTCCGTAATTGAACCCAAGAACAGACCCTAATGCAGAAGCATCACCACATAACCCATAATTCACACACTGAAAGAAGAAATTTGTTTGTAAAGAAAGAAAAGTTCACACCAGTCTGAATTCAGGGTTACCTCTTCAATTTGGCACAGTTCTTGAGAGGGTTCAGTTCCATTGTTACCAACTGGTTGAACCGGAAAGCTAGTGATTGGACAATCAGAGGATGATCCATCGCGATTGGAAGACAATCCACCTACAAGAAAGGAAAACCACACACGAATCCCATCAGAAATTGGACAAGCAAATGGAAGTCGGCGTATCACTCCCGCATTGTTGGAAAACAAAAGACTGGAAAACGAAACCTTGGATCCGAGGAAGCGATTAATCAATTTTTATTCAGACTGCGAAGAAGGTTGTTTGCCACTTGTCGGCGAAATTCCGATGAGGAAAGAATCAGCGAAGAAAAGGAGGAGCGGCGTCAGCTGCGGTTGCAAATGGCGAGCCGATCCTGTTTTTGTACTAGGTGGAAGTTCAAAGTTCAAACCAGGATCGACGACGAGTAATTAGTAATTACCGGTTAAGAGTTATGGCGGGCTCACCTAAGATCAATTAAGTTTCAACGACGGGCCCACGGGCCTTACTTTTACTTAACAAGAGCCCATATTAAAGTTATCCATAACAAAAAGCCCATTAGAAATACATCCAAGGCCAATACTATGGTGCCGCCATCAAAAGTGCGGCACCAGTGCAGCCAACTCCTATTGGTCCACGTTGGCGGTGGAAAGCTGATGAGGCGATGGTTGAATTTGTGAAAAGCCTGCCCAAAACCAATTGCCCATGAATCTACTCCATGCCGGGTGCATTCAAGCTGACCAAAAATATTTCTTTCCATTTTATTCATGAGAACAGTAAAATTAAATTTATTTTGTTTTTTTCAATAAGAAAAAAATCCCAAATCTCGCCTCATTGTCTTCTTCCTCCCAGATTTCTTATGTAAGAAAAAAAAAAAAAAAATTTGAAGGAACAAATCCCTTCTTCTCTCTTCTCTATCTAAAGCGATGATCTTGATCTTTTGGGCATGTTCCTTTTTCCAGTGTTGGGTCAATGGCTAATTGTATCAGGTAGCAGGAATGAAGATAACTAACCGGAAACCACATTGATCGATGGCGACGCCAGTGAGGAACTCCATCCTTACTTCCAAGGCGTTTATTCAGATCCAACATCAGCAAAATGCTGATTCAGATCTCATCAAGCCGCTGCGACGCAGGACCCGAGCTTGACTTGGTTGAAGCGGGTCGCCCCTTCTGTTGGGCGGCAGAGCAATTCGACAAAGAGGAGAACTTGCGGAACGAGGGATTCGAATATGCAATTATTTTGTGTTACAGAAGAATTCTAGGAGTAGGAAGACGTTGGTACTTGGTATAGGAGATTGAATCGGCGGCTCAAAGGTTCGTCGGAATTGTTGGTGTTTAGTTTGACCTTGACGAATGGAGAGGTTGAAAGAGAAGACACAATTCTCTGTATTTCTTTTCAACCTCTCACCGTAAAAAAATATATATAAAAAATAGATTGAACATTTTACAAAAAATCTAAAATGATAAACGAATTTCTGGTCAGTTGGGCGGTTGCGAAAGGATTCAACCGAGTTTGAGTATGCTCCATTTGAGTTGGTTTATAATTCTGCTATTGCCACGTGGAATGATAGGAATTGGCTGCATCAGTACCACATATTTAACAGCGGCACCGTACTATTATCCTACATCCAATAGTCGATAGGTTCTTTGTAACCTGGGATCGGTTCTTACATATTTTTAAGAGTGATCGTTTGGCAAAAAAAAAAAAATTCAACATACTCTACTCCAAGTATAATCCCCAATAGTAATCTTACATACCGTTTAGTATAAATGAATTCCATGCGTTTTGAGGAATTCATTTGGAAATGAAACAGTTTTGCGTTTGATATTTAAAAGAATTCATTTTCAATTCTAAATCTTGAATTCTATGAAATTGGAACTAGTTATAGCAATTCTGAGGAATTGAGATGGAGTTTCCAAATGAATTCCACAAGTATTTACTAATTATAATAGAATGACATAATTATCCTCTTTTATTAACTAAATTACTTATACATATGGCATACCAAATACAAGTATTCATTTGACAATGAATTCTACACTGCAATTCATTTTATTTCTAAAGATTTGTATATGACATACCAAACTCAAGATTTCATTTGACAATGAATTCTACAAGGTAATTCATTTTACAATGAAATGAATTCTGGATTCATTTGTTACCAAACGGTATTGTTAATCTCTCTTCAATCTCCCCCAATACTTCTGCAACCTTAATATGTCGGGCTAAGATCAGGTGACTAAGGGGGGTCCCTTAGTCATATGACAAAGCCAATCTCAACCATTGGACCTCATAAAAATCTAATGGATCAGATTTATCTAGTTTAATGAAGGATAAGGTGGTAATTATATAATTTAATTATTTAACAATTAAAATAAATAAAACATCACAGTTGTCCCTTCGTCCTCCGACCGCGGGTTCTTTGCTGGGGAATTCTCCGACGGCGGAAGCTAGCTTTATCTTCCAATCTCCCCACTTTAGCCCCTCTTTAACCGTGTGTGTGTGAGAGAGAGAGAGAGAGAGAGAGAGAGAGGAGAATTTTCCGCCGACCGGAGGAGACTTTCCAGCGATTAGCGACGACAGAAAAGGATTTTCCGGCAACAATGTTGGATTTGTGATGTTTGTTGACCTATTTTGTAATGTTTGTATCGATTCGAATTGATTTGTTTATCATTTTTAGTGAAATTTTTGTACGGTTAGTATGCTTTGTACTGTTTGTCGCTTTTTTTGTAATGTTTGTACGCTTTGTTATTTCGTAATGTTTGTCGGCTTCTTTTGTAATGTTTGTAAGTTTTGTTAATTTTGTGGACCATGCTTATCATTTTTGTCAACCATGTTTGTAATGGTTTTTATGTCTAAAAAACAACCTGGTTGACTTTTGGATGGAACTCCTCTATATAGGGATGGAGCCTCAAAAGTCAACCCGGGTTTTTTTTTCCAGTTTGTATGGATTGTTGGTGTAGTTTGTCATTTTTGTCCACCATGTTCGCAATGTTTGTATGTCTAAAAACAACCGGGTTGACTTTGGGACGAAGCCCTCTATATAGGGATGGAGCCTCCAAAGTCAACCAGGTTGTTCTTTCTTTTTTGTATGGTTTGTATTGTTTGTCGGTCCAGTTTGTACAGTTCATACGTTTGTAATGTTTCTATATCTGTTTGTATGTTTTGTCGTTGTAGTTGTACTGGTTGTATGGTTTGTACTAATTGTAAGTCTGGTTTGTATACTTCGTAATTTTTCATAATACCCAAACTACCCATGTCATTAATTAAATAGCCCTTCCCACCTTTTAACCGTCAGATTGATGTGTCCAAATCTAAGGGCTGGGAGGGGCTTAGTCAAGTGACTAAGCACCCCCCTTAGTGACAGGATCCGGACCCTAATATGCAGCCTCATTGTGCCAGAACAAGCTTTTCCCATTCTAGAGAGATCATCCAAACCCATACTTATCAGAAAGATGAACCTTGAAGAGATCGCTCATACTCTTGAAGCTGCAAGACGAATCCAGAATTCGAAAATGCTTGAGGTCTCCTCGACTTCACATGTTTCGGAGCTTGAGATACTTGCATCCCATGCTTCTTCATCGGGTAGGCAAGAACAATGGTGGCACTCGGGAAAAAACAAGAGCTCCGAATGAACTTGGCTAGTATTGTTCGAAACTAAAACTATACTATCCAGCATGATTATATGCTTCTTCTGAGTTTGACAGAGTAGAAGAGAAGAGGAAGGTTGTAATGTTGTGCTCTCTTGGTATAGGAGAAGAAATGCAATCCTGGTCTCAGCAGGACTTGAAATAAGAAGATAAGAGATCAAGGAAGTAACGCTGTCGTGGAGTCTGGCTAAGGCGAAATGGCAACATAGAGTTTATTTTACAGTTAGCCGTTAAACAACAATATTTTATTTAATTTGAACCTATGTTGTAGAGACACATGTCGTATTTTGGTTTAATTTCAACGTACAACTATATAAGCTGAACGAAGGACTCAGGTTCTGCTGAGCTCCTTTCCCAAATTATTGCATACAATTCGTTATGGTATCAGAGCTAGGAGAACTCTAGGGTTCTCCAGCTGAAGACGATGGGATGTCTACTGGGCAGCAGACTCCAACAAGACCACGAATGCCGAACAATGGCAGCGGCTGAAGTGGAACCACAACAACTACCAGTTTCAGATTTGGCACATTTAACCAGAACCAGATGCAACCAGAGACCATTGTTTTCGGTAACCCCTACTACCTTAACCCAAATGAGAATATGGCTCAGTCCTTAGTTGCAGAACCTTTCGATGGTACCAACTATGTGGTATGGAGTAGATCTATGCTTGTGGTGTTGAAAACCAAGAACAAAGTTGGTTTTGTAGATGGGTCAATTCCCATTCCTCCTAGGGACTCATATTTGTTTGGTATATGGGATGATTGTAACACGGTTGTCCTATGTTGGCTTTAAAATCCCATGACTAAAGAGCTTAGGAGATCTGTACTGAATCATAGTAGCTCCAAGGCTTTGTGGGAAGAACTCAAGAGGCGGTTTGGCCAAGCTAATGTCATGAGGATTGCCAATTTAGAGGATGAGATTCAAGCGTGTAAACAAGGTTCTAGAACAATCAACCAATACTACACAGAAATGGCTCTGGGATGAATATGTTGAGTTTTCTCCTATTACTCCTTGCAACTGTGCACCTGGAAACCTCATTCCATGTGCAGTTGTTGCTGCTTTTGTGCAAAAGCAGGAAACAAACTATCTGATTAAGTTTCTAAAGGGGAATTAATCCTGATTATGAGGTCATCAAGACACAACTATTGTTGCAAAAGCCCCTACCAACAGTTTCTGCTGCAGTGGATGATCTATTGCAGCATGAGCAGAAGTTAAAGGTTGATGCAACAATGGGAGGAAAGAAGGGTCAAACTATGGCCTTGGCAGTTGGTGGTAGTAATGGTGGTGGTAATCAAAAGGAATCTAGAGAAAACAAGAGATACAGAAGGAGAATGGTGGTAATGGAGGATCTCACTCAAGTTCCAGTTCTAACTCCACTACTACAAGGTTTGCTGGATCCATATCACAAGGAAGTAGCAGTGAATGTTCAGCTGAGGGCAGTGTGGTTAATGAAGGTAAGAACCAGGTTCGTCTTGCATTTACACTTGAGGAAATGACAAGACTCAGGTACTTACTGCAAACTGGTGTTAACAACAGCCCTTCATCACCCACCTCCCCATCCATTAACCATCAAGCCTACTCAGCATCTCTATACCCTAACTCCCTACCAAATTTTTCAGGTAAACAAGTTTTGTCATCTTTTCACAATAGCAAAACTAATGACCATAGTTTATGGATAGTTGACACTGGTGCATCAGACCATATTGCATGTAACCTGAACCTATTTTGTCACTATAGACCAGTTAAGGACACCTTTGTTTACCTTCCCAACTGCGCCAAAGTCACAATTACCTTTGTGGGCACAGATCCATTGTCATGTGGTTTAACATTGCATGATGTTCTCTTAGTCCCAAATTTTTCCTTCAACCTCATCTTAGTTAGTAAACTTACACGTGACTACCCTTTTTCCTTACTTTTTCATTCTGATAAATGTGAAATCCAGGACCTTTTAAGCAGGAAGAAGATTGGTTTAGCCCACACAACTAGAGGTCTCTATCAACTAGCCTTAAATCCAGGACCAGTCAAGACTTCTCATTCAACCTCACCCTTTCACCAACATCAAGCAGTCATTACCTTCAATTTTAATCCCCACGACATGAACCTGTGGCATTGGAGGTTAGGACACCCTAGTCATGATAGGATTTCTTTACTTAGAAATGTTGTTCCTTCTATTTCTTGTTCTAAAACTATTCACTGTGAAGTTTTTCACATGTCCAAACAAAGAAAACTCTCTTTCCCTGTTAGCACCAGTAATGCACCTGCAGTTTTCCAGTTAATCCACTGTTTCTTATGATGGTTATTCTTACTTCCTTACCATTGTGGATGATTGTTCTAGATGTGTGTGGGTGTATTTGATGAAACACAAAAGTGAAACCAGGGCCTTAATCCAAGGTTTTTGCAATATGGTGAAGAATCAATTTATTACCAGTGTCAAGGTTATTAGAACTGATCAGGGCAAGGAGTTTGCTATGTGTGATTACTTTGAAGCTGAGGATATTGATAAGCCGTTAATTGCACATGTTTTTACCCCTATTCTGGAGCCGTTTGAGGTGTTGATTCTCGTGTTTTAGGCCGATTTCACGCTAGGTTGTGTTTGTTTGTGATATTTCAGGTCCTAGCAAGTGAATGAAGGTTTAGGAGCGAGTTCGGGGTCGATTGGACGAAGATCGGGCGCGAGGCAAGTCAAAAAGGAAGCCACACGGGCACACCCACAACTCACACGGCTTGCCCTGAAATCCACACGGCCGTGTGAAGTTGCTGTTTGGCCGTGTGGAATTCTGCGAGGCTTCATACGGCCAGGCAGGGTGAGCCACACGGCCGTGCGACCCTGGCCGTGTAGGAATCCTGAAGTGCAATTAAT